TTCCGGAGCGGGGCAGAGAAGGAACATAGTGTTTCCTTGGCTTTCAAGATTTCATGTTCACACTGGGCTGCATCTCCTTTGTGCTGTGAGTGACCTGTGTCCCCTCCTCTCGCTGTCCCAGTCTCCTCATCCCAACCCTGAGTTTCTCCTAGTTGATCTGATCCCATCTGTACCGCAGCTCCTTTGCTGTGGTGTACGAGCCATCCTGACCCTCTTCTCTGCCAGCTTGTACGTGGCTGGGTGAGCAGAGCAGTCATAACCCTCTCACCTTGGGCACCTTGGTGTCACAAATCACCTCTCTGTATTGTCTCTTGGGGCGATGACAGGCTTGCAGAGAGGGACTTGGGGGTGCTGTTGGGTGAAAAGCTGGACATGAGCTGGCAATGTGAGCTCACAGCCCAGAAAATCAGTTATGTCCTGGGCTGCATCAAAAGCAGCGTGGTCAGCAGGACAAGGGAGCTGGTTCTGCCCCTCTGCTCTGCTCTCTACAGGAAAGGCATGGACCTGTTGGAGTGGGTCCAGAGGCGGCTACCGAAATGACGGGAGGGCTGGAACCCCTCTGCTGTGAGGGCAGACTGAGAAACTTGGGTTTTTTTCAGCCTGAAGAAGAAAAGGCTCTGGGGACATGTTCTTACAGCTTTTCAGTACTTAAAAAGGTCCTATGAGAAAGATAATGATGGTCTTTTTAGCAGGGCCTGTTGCGACAGGACAAGGGGTGATGGTTTTAAACTGAAAGTGGGTAGATTTAGACTAGATCTAAGGAAGAATTTTTTTATGCTGAGGGTGGTGAAAAACATCGTGTTAGATGCCCCACCCCTGGAAACATTCCAGTTCAGGCTGGATGGAGCCCTGAGCAACCTGATCTAGTTGCAGATGTCGCTGTTCACCGCAGGGGAGTTGAACTTGATGACCTTTAAAGGTCCCTTCCAACCTAAACCCTTCTGTGATGCTTTGACACAGCTTTTCTCAACCCCTCATCCACCCCCCAGGTGATGAATGAAGACGGTCAAACCAGCACCATCCGAGATAAGATCCTAACAATCGACGTGCAGCCGGGGTGGAAGCAGGGCACCAGGATCACCTTTGAGAAGGAAGGAGACCAGGTGATGACTATGGTGTGAACTTTTGGGCCAGGTTTCCTCGGGACCCACTGCACGGTCTTTGCAGGTTTGCCATTGCTGTGGGTAGTTGGCAGCGCAGCTAACAGAGCAGTTCAGTGGCTTTTCCCTTGTAGGGTCCGAACATCATTCCTTCTGACATCACCTTTGTTGTCCAAGAGAAACTCCACCCAAGGTTTAAAAGAGCCAACGATAACCTCATTCATGTTGCCACCATCCCCTTGGGAAAGGTAAAGAGGCAAGCGAGGGGACGGAGCCAGCCCCAGCTGGGGTTTGCCCTCTGGGGCTGCAGGGGCAGCTCGGGGCCCTGGTCTGTGCCTTGCAGGCGCTGGTGGGCTGCTCGGTGGAGGTGAGGACGCTGGACGGGCGGCTGCTGAACATCCCCATCAATGACATCGTGGAGTAAGTGCCCGTGGGGGAGCGGCTGCTGGCCTCAGGCCATTGGGCGTGGCCTTTCTGCAAAGCTTGCTGGCCAAGGAGGTGATCAAGCACTTGGGAGGCAATTCCCAAGCACATCCTCATTGCCTGGATTACTGGGGGGCTTCAAAAGGTTTTCTGGCAGGCTCCCAGGGTCCCCGCTGCAGGATCACAGCCTGGAAGAGGAAGATGGCAACCGTGGGCTACTCTTATGGTCTGGGGCCATGTTGGTGGCAGCAGAAGCCAGGAGAGAGCTTGGTGTGGGTGGGTGAAGGACAGGAGCGAGGTGAGGTCTGGATGATACAGCCTGCAGGATGAGGAGCAAGGGCTGGAAGAGGAGAGTGGGTCACACAGTTGGAGCTGGAGGAACAAACCTGCCCTGAGAAACCCACTCAGCAGTGTGCGTAGGGCTCTGCAACCTGGGTACATCGGGGCTTAGCACTGTGACCCCCATGTCAGGATCATCTCAGGGCTCCTCCCAGCCCCTTCCTCTGCTTTGCAGCCCCAAGTACTGCAAAGTGGTGCCAGGGGAGGGGATGCCGCTGCCCCAGGACCCCCGGCGCCAGGGTGACCTCCTCATCTATTTCAACATCTGCTTTCCCAAGAAGCTCACGCCTGACAAGAAAAAGCTCTTGAGAAGCGCCCTTCTGTCCTAGGAGACAGCGACCTTCGCACTTGCCTCCCACCAATAAAGCTCTGGAGCTAGCACTGTGGCCGTGTAGAGGTTGTTCCAAGTACTGGGGACCCTAAAATGCATGATCACCCTAAAACACAGCACCCTGGAGGCTTTTTCTCCAGGGACTGAGATCCATCAAGCTTTCCAGACTCTTCTTCATAGCTGCCACCCTGCTGGCACCACTGTGACATGGAGGCTGAGGGAGGATTTTGGGGGTGCTGGCATATTCCCTGCTCAGCTCTTGCACAGGAAGCTCGTGGTTTGGGGGTGATGGTGCAGGGTGGTGAGGGAAAGACCAAAACATAGAAGAGAAGACCACAGGATTTACTCAAGGCCTTGCTGCGCTCACTGCAGCTTCCTCGGCTAGGGCCTGGCAGATGTATCTCTTTTTGGTGTTGGTGAGTGAGGTGTCTCCAGGAATGTGGCAATGGCAGCACTGGGCTTGGGAGAAGAGCTCCTGCCAGTGGCCACCAAGCCTTGTTTCAGCTGCTTGTTGCTGGTGAACATGACGATGAAGAGCCCCAGAAGCTGAACTGCAGGAGTGAGGGCACAAACCTGCCAAAGGAAGAGCTCCAGCCTCCCCACGTGGGCTCCCAGCCTGATACTGCTGTGGGTGCCACAGCCCCCCAGGAGGTGTAAGGAGGCAGGCTGGAGTTCCTACCTGGAAAGGGGGGGCCTGGGGGAGGAGACGCCCCCGTGCCGCCCCCCCACTCAAGGCTTATGGAGCCTTGACTGGGAGGACGTTGGGGAAGAGAGTACTGTGGGAGGACCCCTGTTCCAGACCCAGCTACAGCAGGCTGGACAGAGGTGAAGATTCCCCCATGAGGGGCTGGAGGGGGCCTGGGCACAGCCACCACCATGGCATCAAGGCTGCACACCCACTGGGAGTGGGTCAGCCCTCCTTGGGGCTGGGGGGGGCCTCCCACATGGAGACGGGTAGTGTCTCTTTGCACCCCACGAGTGGCACACGTGGCCATGACCCACACACCCTGACAGGACCCACAGCCCTGCTGGGGGTGGCAGAGGCTGAGGCTGAGGTGTGCTGACAGTGCCAGACTGGTGCCCACACCCAGTGCCTGATCCCACAAGGCCCTGCACCCCCTTTTCTAGCCTGGCAAGCAGAGCCCCCTTTGTGACACCCGGCAGCTGGTATGGGCAGATGTGATCTGCTCAGGAGGGGCTGGCTTGTCCCCCTTGGAAATCAAGGGTGGAAGCTGATGGAAGCCCAGGGTCTGAAGGACAGGAGACCCTAGGGTTGCTTCAGAGAGGAGGGTTGTGAGGAGAACAAGGACAAGGCTAAGGATGAGAAGCATGAGCACCCATACACTTGGCCCTCCAGCCAAGAGCAGCACTGGCCAGAGCTTTTGAAATTAAAGGGGAAGCCCTTGATGCTGAGCCCTGGTCCTGCCCCAAACCGCCCCAGGTCCCCTCAATACTCAGCCCGGGTCCTGTCAAACCCACCCCAGGTCCCTCTCTGCTCAGCCCACCCCTCTGAGCAGGCCAAGTGATGGAGGTGGGCTGCAGTGTCCCCTCGACCCTCTCCTCCTGTCCCTCTCCTGAACCCCTCCTGTCCACCACTGCACCAGGTCATGGCTCCAGGAAGGGGTAGAGGGACCCTGCTACACCCCTGCCCATTTCCCTTCCCTGCAGGGCACCCACATCAGTCTTGGCCACAGGTGCCCCATGAGGGTATCTGGTCCTGAGCACCTCCTGGTCTCCCACAGAGCTGCAGTGCGGGAGCTCCATGAGTGTCGGGAAGAGGAGCCTGACAGTGGGACCCTTGCCCTGGCTGCAGCTCCCCAGCTGCACGGCTGAGAGGTCCTGGCAGGTCTAGGACAAGTCTTCATGGGCAACCCACTGTGGGACAACTCTATATGGGCAACTCTCTGCAGGTTGGCAGAGTCCATTGGTTCTCCCTGCCACATGGCAAGCTCAGCAAAGCCCTTGAACAACGCTGGGGGCTCTGCACAGCACTGTGGGGAGCCCCGAGCGAGGAGGAGCAGGAGGAGGACTGGTCTGTTTGGCACCTCATGCTGGAGAGGCTGGAGCTAGTTCCAGTAAACTGCAAACACATTGCAACCTTCCATAAAGGGCAAGAACAGGAGAGGCGATAATGGGGAAGGCATTTCACAGGAGGGTATCAGATGAGAATAGACCTGCTGTGTTTATGTGGCACCCTCCCCAGATGTGCTTTGCCAGCTTGCTGACAGTAAGCTGCTGACGCATTCCTGATGCTGCCATCCACATTACCTCCAAACTTGGCTGGACTTTCAGAAGGAAAGCCAGGCCAGTTGCTGGACACAGCGAGTGTTGTGACAACACACCCTTATGTAACCCATAAGCAGTAGGACATCAGGGTAAGAAACGTGATCGGCTGTGAATGCTGAGCACTGAGAGATTTAGCTCCCTCGGAGATAACTTGTCCCTGCAGATAGTCCTGGAACCAACACCCCCTCCCGAAGCTCTGCTTGTGCTTCCTCAGCTCGTGGTTTCCCAGGCCATGTTTCCATACTCTCCACCCAAGCCTGCACGTCCTGGCACCTCCTGCTGCACTAAACCAGCATCTTCAGCTGGCAGCCCACACAGCACTGTCCTGGCACCCAGCCTTGTGGGGGCACTGGGGTAGCGTCACCCATTGTCACAGCAGAGCAGTGAAACACAACCATCTGGCCTCTCTCACTACAGGCAGAGAGAAACACACTTTATAAGTGAGGACAAGTTCATTTATCATCTACTTGAAATCTTAACTCTATTTATTACAGAAAACGAAAAAGCAAAGAATACTATTCTAGACAAACCTTTCAATGACAAAGCAGTCATGACTATGAGCTGCTTATCTTCCTGAGGATCCAGTATCATCCTGTCCCCCATCTCTAATTATCCCTTGCCCATGGTCCTCTACATCTCACCCCTTGCCCCAGTTTTCAAGTCCTCTGCTTCTATCAGGCTTGCATTACTCTGCTCTTCTACACAGAAAAACTGCGTGTTATTAGGATTTATATTAAAAATGTGGTTATACCATACAACCATAAAAGGTAAAACAAGGCAATAGCCACCTGGTCATGAGACAATGCAAACCAGCCAAACAAGTGAAAACAAGGCCCCAGACATGTGAAGAAAAGTTCAGACCACGCAAGCCTGGCAAGTCCCAACACCCTGCAGAGCTAACAAAGCTTGTGCCCTGCTACTAGCAATATTCACAGTTGGAGCTGATACTTTCGTATTAACCTCCAGTCTTAGCATGTTTTCTATAACTATTTATTTTTCTACAAACATATGGAACCCCTTGTCTTAAAAATTTATTTTCAACTACATTTTAATATCCTCCATTCACTTTACTAGCTTTATTCTCTTTACCAGTGTTAACTGCTCTTGGAAAGGATAAGCATCCCATCTAAGTTAGAAACCCATTGAAGTAAAAATTTCCTAACAGAAGTGCCAACAGGCTTCCAATTTGCAGAGCTACAATTAAAAACCAATTCTGAACTGAACTATTTGGTTGTAGGCTTTGTTCAAGAGTAGACACTCCAAATGTTGACCACTTTCAGAGATGAAGGCAGAACATGTGAAGTTTGGGTTAATGTTGACGTTAAAAAGTGTGACTTGATTACAAAGTGTTCCCTTGAAAAAAAATTAAATCCTTGGGCTGTACTAGTGCACAGTATCCACTCTGCCTCCCAAACATGAGTCTTGTTTTCAATAATGGAAGAACAAAATAGGCTGAGCATATTAGGCTAGAAGCACATTTGGTTAGTTTTCTTCCAAGCAGTGAATCCAGCAGTAATACTGCAGTATTCTATGTCAACAACTGTTTTGCAAATCCAAAGGGAATAACAAAAGAAGCCAAAAAAACCCCAAATGCAACCAGCATGTAATAAGAATTTTATTGAATACGTTTAGAAAAAAACTAGAACATGAAGACATGAGATTAACTTCTGCATGTAAGCTTTATGAATGTGAAGAATTAAACGACCATGCGAAAAGACATCTCCCCCCTTCAACTTAATTCGAGACTCTTACAAGGGCAAAATTATTACCACCTTAAAACAAGTGTTAGGAGAATCACAGAACAGTTTGGGTTGGAAAGAACCTTAAAGAACTCTAGAGTCTAGTTCCAACCCCCTGCCATGGGCAGGGACATCTTCCACTAGATCAGGCTGAAACCCCATCCAACCTGGCCTTGTTCCAGACATAACTCATTACTTTACAAAGGATCTCATTCTTGAATGGAGATAAAAAAATTTTAGTAGCAATTGGGAAAGACCAATGATTATCAGGTACAGTATTTAATGAATACTCATGCCATGTTTAAAGAACGCAAGCAAAAAATGCACCATTATGTAGGATAAGTAGATTCTTTTCTCAAGGCAAAATTCCTACTAAAACTAAACTGTGCTACTGAAATGGTGACTTGATAATGTACATCTTCCAGGAGATCATCCAGTGGAAGATTTTTTGGTCAAATTACATCAATGCAGCTGAACTGCCCAGTGCTTAACTGTATATTAACATTAAATTCCAACTCCTCCAAGACACGCTTCTTTTATATTCTGTTAGACAAAAAATACGTAATGTTGGGTAGGAAAATGGGTTTATACATGAGGGAACAGATTAAGATTTCTGTCACAAACTTGTATACCCATGCAATTTTTCCTATTAAGGGGTTGTGAAGGAAGAGTTTCATATGCACCTGGGCAGTGAGTTCTGAGACATGCAGCAGTGTGCATGTGTAACGTGTACAGCCATGCTGAAACACACGAGAGCCTTCACAGACTCATCAATTGTAAAAATACAGTGAGACTGTTAACCAGCTTGGTAAATATAGCACCACTTCTGAAAATATGAAAAAAAGGGTAAATTTAACAGCAAGTATTCCAGAACCTACTTTGCTTGTTATTTTTTTCTACTGTTCTCAGACAGGTGAAAGCTTATGTGATCAAAACTCACTGAAGTTTACTTCCCAATCTTGCTTTTGAGAAAATAGGGTGATTGGTTTGGTACACCACAGTCGAGTTCACCTTTCCACGGTTACTAATAGAAGTCACAGCCAAACCAATATCCCATTGAAGTGTCAGGACATGATGTCATCTCCTGAAATACCCAGGTCTAACACTGATGTGTTGAAGCCTGTTCTGAGGAACTGCTCGAAGCACTCAAATTCAGTGACACAGCTTCTGCAGCATGATAATGGATGTAGACATATGGTTCTAAAAAGCTGCTGAGAACTAATGCAGTTAAACAAGAGACTTATGGCAGTCTATACCATGTGAAAACCTGTCTTTTTATTTTGAAAACCATCAGAGGCCATAGAAAACTAGGCTATCTTCTTGCCTGAAGAAAGCTGGTGGGTTTTTTTGCTTACTTTTTTAAACAGGTGAATTCTAAAAGTGGTTTTATTGCCACTCGTGGGGAAAGTCATACAGAACTCCTGAACTATCTTTAACTTTGTGCTCAAAGTATGAACAGCAGGAAAAGAGTAAGAGGAATGAATAAAAACCAAAACTGAGGACCATTTCTCTACTTATGGCCAGGTTGACTCAGCTAGCAGCAGAGTGTAGTATGAATAGCGTAACAAATAGTCAGAGGGTCCCAAGCCTGCAGCACTAACAATAGGTGGTCTGTTCAACCACATTTCTCTCCATTCAGCATTCAGTACACTACAGGAAAATATGACTTGTTTAAAAACAGAACTTCTGCTTTCCCAGGAAATTTTATTTCCCTTGTAGGTCTTCCAACTGGACTTTACATGTTGTAAACCTACAGCATGTGAAAACGAAAACAAACTGAAATTATGTTAAAAAACGTGGAGAACATTTTAGGGTGTTTACATATACATATGGAAAGACACATGTTTAAACTTGCTTGTTAAATAAGAACTTAATCCTGGCACTTAAACACTGCTTGTTTTGCTGTCCAAATTCAGGGTTCTGCATACAAAAATACAGATGGCACACCAGTAGCTACAGCTATCTGGAATATTTCATCCACTGAAGTGAATGTTCTCAGTATTATAATAAGAGCTCCACTTGGGAGTTCAGAACACACCAGGGAACATCTGTTCAATTTTTTAAGGGCCATTTGCAGGCATACACTTTTGTAAGCTTGTACCCTACCACTTCACAGCACCTGACATTTTGACTTTTTTTTTTTTTAAGCATTATTAGAGGTTAATAGAATCTTTTGGGTAGAACTTGGAGCTGGAACTTTCAATAGGGACCCAAGAGAGAAAGCAACCACACTCCCTCCCAGTCAGTAAAGAAACAGGATCTTGAAATGAAGGTAAAGAAGCACCAAACCATTCAACTGAATTTCATATATACAGCACTGGTGTTACTTTCTTGGTGTTCGAGGATGGTTTCTTTGGTAATCTATTTCCTACTACTTTAAACATGGTGTAGGACTTCAAGTACTGCTAGAGACAGAACTCTGAGCTCAAGTCAAATTCTGTGTTCTCTTAGCATTATTCCAGGTCTGCCAAGGCCGGCAGACGAGCATTCATACATTTCAACAGTCCACAGGACTACATGTTAACATATATATGTTCAGCACAGTAAATAATGGTGGATGTTTTGCACGATTTCTATACAAACCCATTGTTTTTCTCTCAGCTGCAACCCAAAATTAAGAAACTACGGCAGAAAGATAAACTAGCATTACTGCATGTGTTGCTGCTTGGAGGAAAGTCTCATCTTTAAAACTATCCTGGTTTCAACCACAAATTTTACTGATAGAGAATTGAAACGAAAAATAAGGTTTTGATTTCTAATTAGTGTTTTGCTTATGCTGTTCAAAAGAAATAATATTTAAAAAATATTTTAAATCAAAGGTATAGTTATCATAGAATCATCAAATCATTTCAGTTGGAAAAGACCTTTACGATGAAGTGCAACCATTAACCCAGCACTGCCAGCCCAACACTAAACAATGTCCCTCAGCACATAATCTACATTTCTTCTGAATATCTCCAGGGATGGTGACTCCACCATTTCCCTGGGCAGCCTGTCCCAGTGCTTGACAACAGCATTATGATTTGAAACAGACATTTTAAAGCTTGTTGTTTGTTTCTCCTAAGATATGTCCTGTAGATAAATTTCAGTCTTAGATTATCGTCTTCCTAAACACAAGCTATGCATATCTACATGGAACTGATTTTCCTGAGACACCTACAGTGCGTGCTGCCTTCTCCTACTACACGCATCCATCTACTTTGAAAAAAAGAGTTATTTTTTTAATGTAGAAAAGGACTGAATATACATTCTGAAGACTGGCAAATATATAAAGCACCTCGGTTACTTTATAATAGTCTGCCATATGTATATTCTCCACAGCTGAGATGCTAAAATTATTAATTGATTTTGCTGTTCGTTCATATATTTAACAATTCAAATACCAGATGTACAAGAAAAAAATCCTTCTTGACAGCTCTATTTATTTTAATCTGATCTCCTGCTTCTATACATGAAAGACAGCAAAAGTCAGCAAGTACTAAAATCCTTAGCAAAATACCATTTATTATAACCCTACACAACCAATGGGTATTGAAACAAACATTTGTTTCAAAAGACAAAAATGCAAAACTGCAAGTATTCTTTCATATTCTTTCATATTTATGTATCTTTTTGTTCTAGATGTGAAACTGCGTGCTAATCACTTCAGGAACTCAGATTTCTCTATCTGCATTACTGCATGCTTCACAATGAACAGTGCTGAATTTAACATGTGCTACCCAGTTGATCCAGTCTAAATAGAACTCCTGAAAAATTACCATGCAGAGTGGCCCGAGAACACAGTTACCTGGACAGTCAGTGCATGGCAGGTATGGCTGTAAGCAAGGGGCAATAGCTTTTTCACTCTAAATCCCCATGAAGACATCCAGCTAGAATAAATACACTCACGGGCACAAGAGCAGAAGCAGCTATTATCCTTCAAGCTTACAACCCAATTTACTGTGCGTCAAATTTCTTTGTAGAATGGAACATACAATCTAACAAAAAAAACCTATATAAAGTTAAATATTTGATTACAGTAGCAAGTCACCACTTCGTTAACGGGAAATAACTTGTCTCTTGGAATCACTGCTGATCTGAATTCTCAGTTTTCTGTTGCGTGCTGGACAGCGGTAGTTCAAGACTGGCCCATAACAGGGGCTCTGCTTTTCTCATGGTGAGCTCGATCTTTGTGGCTGTCATGTTCACGTAACTCCTCTTCACATCGATTACCTACAACAGAACACAGTTCACACTTCAGTTTAAGAAACAAACTGCTAAATATTTGGGAATTAAGTTTGGAAGAATACTTTATCACTAAATTTCAGCAGATGTTTAGGTAGATGGAGTTCCCTGTGTTGTCTAGACAAGTCAGCCCTCTGCCATTCCCAAGCTCTGAACGTAAGACTTCCACACACAACACACACACATTGGTCTAACACATACATAAGCATGCAGCTCCACAGTGTGAAAGGTTTTCTGCAACAGCACTATTGTGGTGTTGGGATCCGACAGGACCTAAAGAGATCACTTCTGCTCAAAGCAGCATCAACTATGATGTCATACCCGACCACCTAGGACATTAGATTAGGGTTTAAATTTAATTACCGAAAGGCATGAAACGGAATTTCTTTCAGTAAGCAGAGTAATGAGGAAAACCAAACTGTGTTGATGAGGGTTTATGTTTTGTTGCGGTTTTACTATTTAAAAAAAATAAAATAAAAAAATTATACTTACTCCCCATAATTTCACACTGCGATGAAATTCCTTTTCTCCTTCAAATACAATATGGATATTTAACTTAAAAGGAAAAACAACAGAAAATTTTGTCAGGCTAATAAACATTTGACTCCTCAAGCACGTTTAAACAAAGTATATCACATTAGGACTCGGATCTTATAATGAGCAAAGCAATCAAATTGTCCCTCAGACATAGAAGTGAAAATCTACTCTAATTGATTCTGGTACAGTATCATAGTCAATAGTGGCCATATTTACATTCTGGAAGCTGTATAATTTTCTTCAAATCTGTAATTATGAAACCAGAGCAGTGTTTTAACACTTGGTTAATATCAGTAGCTGTAAAACCACATATCATGGTAATCTTAAGGCAGATACTCACCATTGTGCTATTTGCTTCTACATAGCTCAGATCAGGAACAGAGTTTTTAGCATATACAGAAATAGTCACTTCTCCTCCAGTCTGGTGCCAATCATGCCTGCATGGAACTACTTTCTTACCCTACATAAGGAAAATGGTACAGAAGAAAGACTTAAAAACCTATTCAGGAGTATTTTTACAAGATTAATCAGGATAAAAGCCCAGGACTATTTTTGTAGCCAGCAACCATAGCTAATAAAACACTATATTTAATGCTCACAGGAGACTGCAAGACTGTACTTAGATCTCTTTTTACTATGTATTTCAGCTATTGGTCCCTGACAAAAATTAAATGTGCAAAAACCAATGTTTATGACAGAGACTACAGTGAGAAACCAGGACATTGTGCCAGAAAAAACCTCCACCCCCCCCCCTCAAAAATACCAACCAAACAACAATATGTTACTTGTATTAACTTCCTTTCTAAGACTAGTTATTCAGCAGGTTGTAGAAAGCAACTCAGCAAATAAAAAGAAAGCCATGACTCCAAGAAACTTTTATATAACTACAAAAAAAATGTTGAATATTACCCTGTTTTCTGATGCAGGAAAAAACAAATGATGAAAAAAAAAAAAACCAAAATAACCATGAAAAGGTTAAGTAAAAAAAGCCTAACCCTCTTAGCTAAAAGCTCATTATCTCAACATAGACACTTCCTTAACACCTGGGTAAATTCTTTAGAAGAATACTTTACTGGTTTAGGCTCACAACTGCAGCTTTTTTTTTTTTTTTTTTTTTTTAATCCTTCCTTTCTGCATTTGAAAATAATTCTTAAATTTTCAAAGCAAGGAGCAACTCTATGACTTAAAAGGACTTGTGAAGCAGCTGCTGTAGAATGAGGTAATAGAACTACACTTTATGTAATATGTCTTTATTTTCTTCTGTTAGATGTTACTGATATTGGCACTATGAAACTCATTTTGCCTCAGCAATAAACAATAAATTCATAACAAGAATTTGGTATTCACCTGCATCCAACATGTAACCACTTAATGTTTTTGAAGAAAGCATTCAGTTCCATTATTATGTTCTACAAAATTCTTCAAGAAACTTTTTAAACTTTGAATGGAAGTGTTTTTCAACTTTTAATTCTGCAGTTTGTTCCCAATATTGCAATGAAATAGCTACGAACGAAGCAGAGATCCTCTCTCTGTATTTGTTACACTGGTAGCCAAACCAAAACACTCAATTATATTCAGACCAGAAAAACAAACTGAAGCCAAATTAGGCAGAAAAAGGCAAGAAAAACAACAGAAAAACTACTCTGTGTGGAACTAGAAGTGCAGTTATCTTACTACAGAACTTGTAAGGCTGCTCTCTTCCTGGTCTTTGGGAAAGACTTTTAATAATCTTGAAATAGTACATATGGAATATATTCTACGTGGAATACTATAGACTAATTTCTTAACTACCAAAGCAGAAAAGACTACCTTTTTTTTTTCCCTGAATTTTCCAAAATCACTTTTACAATAACAGTGATGCTATACATATCACCAAAAAGAAAGGCTGTACTCTATTCCAAGTACACTTCTACCAACAATTACCTCAAACTTCATTTCTGTTGTCACACTGTGCGTAACATCCTCCCCATTATATCAGAGGTAGCAATCTGTAACAGCTCTACTACAGTAATAACTCAATCAAGCCACCAACTACACTCCAGTATTCAAAATTCAGAAGGGCCAGCTACAGAACACACCGCCAGCGCTGCTTACCGCATCCTTTTTAGTCCACACGTGCGTGCCTGTTGTGCAGCCTTCTTGAGCTAAAAACGTATTGAAGTCAGACGTTTTCCTTTTACAACAGCTCCAGTACTTCATCCTTGAAAGTTTGCAAAGTAATTAAACAATATTTAGGACACTATTTACTGTGAATGCTTAAGAGCTCTCCTTTATGCAATGTTACTGTTAATTTAGTACAGGTGCATCAAGCATTGTCATCTTTGAGTGAAGAAAAACGTACAGAACAAAAGCAAGGCAACGTCTATAAAGGAAGCAGGAGCACCTAACAGACTACTAAAAACAATTTAAAATTAACTGAATACTAACCCTTCATGGAATATAGGTACACCAGAATGGTATATACATACTTCTTCTGTGCTGTGTGGTCCTTCGTACGTCTAGTAAAACAAAGCATTTAAAATGTGTTACTGCTGCAGGATAAAGACGGAGGGGAAAATATCAGAACAAAACACAGCTCACAACAGAAGCACTGAACAAAGTACTACAAAGCTGCTGAGTAAATATTCTAGGCCTAATGACTTGTCCAAGCTTCACAAAATAACCATTCAACCTTCCATCACAGAAGATTCTCTGGCACTCCCCCTTCACAAACTGTGCATTCTATCAGTTCAATAGTGTTCAATGGCGCCATCATCTATGCCCCCAATGGTCACTTTAGATCCTCAGAGATGCCTGTCTTTAAAAATACTCTGAGTATTCAGAGAAAATAAGTACTTAACTGGAAAATAAACTGCATTTATCATTCATAAAACACACGGATTCTCAAAAGAAAGTTAAACAGTAGCAACCCTGCCACTGAGTATCGGATCAGTTCTTCATAACACAAACAAGTTCTCCTTCCACCAGGGTTTCAGTAGAAAATGCAAAAATCTGTCAGATGTCCAGTGAGATATCAATTTAAATTCTGCTGTCATTTTCTGCACAACACAAGAACACCAGTGTAAAAAAAACCCTTTGGTTTACATGACTATGTAATATAAAGACTAATTTTGGTGCTCAAGGTGTTAAACCATTTTCTTTGTGGATTCTTCTGGCAGAAAGCATTAACTGATAAGATCTGCAGATGCTTCTGATCTGGACAGAGATTATCAGGGGCAATTCAAGTATCATCACTAAGCCACCACTCACCAATATTATAGTTGCCATTTTAAGTTGAAACACATCAGTATCACGGGTCTGGCGAGCTCAGTCGTTACCAGTTCAAAACAGGTTTAAGAAAAAGTCACCTTGGACTTCCCGCACACATGGCACAAAACAGCCCACACTTGCCAATACCAGAGCGTGTTATCAAACGTGCATTCGTTAAGCCTGATGGACTTTGTGCCATTTCCAAATTCATTTGTAGCACATGAAAAAACACCCACAAAAAGAAAACACTTAATACTTCAGCAGCTGGTTTGCAGAGTGGAACTGAACCACTTACCTTTGAACAGCCTGCATTTTTACATGCCGTCCCTATCTTGATTTCATCACTGTCTTCCTCTGTAAGGAGAATTATATTATAGAAAATAGTAACTGAATTGTATAATGTGATAAATATTTTGCTTTTATTAAGAAATAAAAAGAGCTAAGAAGTAGATTGGAGAAAACCCTCTCAAGCTGCCTATGTTCTGCCCAGCACTGAAGTCTGCCAGAAAAGTAGAAAGAAACAGGAACTATACAAACATTCCAAAAGCTGTATCACCTATGCATCAGATTTTAGGTTTTACACCTTTATGCTGTTTTAAGTGGGGACAAAAACAAACAAACCCCAAAAATCAAACTGATGAAGAGGAACATTACAATCATAGGGGGAGAGAACAATCACTCATCTTGTTTGGTTTTGTAAAACTAAAAATGTATAAAAAGCTCCAATTGCTGTCTATAAATGTACACAAGACAAGAATCTGGGCACCAAGTAAAAAGAAGAGCTAAATGACAGTTTTGGCACAAGAACAAAGTATAAAACAGGCACAAACGTAGGCTGAAATTAGAAAGTATTTCTTAAGGAGCAGTGCAGCTCTGGAACTAAATTCCAAGTAAACTGTGGGAAGAAAAAAAAAAAAAAAGAGGAAAACCAGACGAAGGTAAGCCAAGTAGCCTTCAGAGGCATTTCACCAGTTTATGAAAGGCTTTATATGACATCGTGTTTGCAATGACATTTCCAATTTCTTGGGAGCACTTTCAGTCATATGTGTGGAAATGGATGTTCCCATCATGCCCATTATAGCCACAAAATCTTAAAAAACAGGCAGTTCAAATAATTTTAATGGCAACATACTGCTCCTAACACCCAAACCTCCATATTGTTCATGTTTCAAGTTGGATTATCGTTCCCTAGACTGGAAGGTATTTCCCAGATTACTAAGGACAAGTTCACAATAGCATGAAATAATGACTTCAGAAACAAAACCCAAAAATAGAATTGCATTTATTTGTGTGACAATTACCATCATATACCTCCTTAATCTCCCTATATCCTCACCTTTTTTCTCTTCATTTTCTGAGGAGAGTTTCAGTTTATCTAGCGCTTGCTTCAAGGAAGCTGACACTTTCAGCTGCAAGCTTGTCATTGGTTCATCTGGGCTGAAAAAAAATGTCCACATACTCACATCAGCTTCATGAAAAATAAATCATTTACAATAGACAACAAAGTAGTAAATTTTAATCTTGCTATAAGGCTCCTCCTTTCCAGTCTCCCTTACAACAACAAACAAGCAAACTATACTCATAAATGCTAGAAGAAATTTAAAAGGCAGTGTTGGCTTCCAACAGGAAATCCTAAATACTCTATAACAAAAATAAATCAGAGAGATTAAGGGATTTAAATACAGGCACCCTAAAATTATTTTTTATGGCTGTTTAACAAAACACAACTGCTAGAAGCATTCTGAGCTATGAGGCTTTACACTGGAATTTTTGTTTCCCGTGAAGCTAAATGCTGAGGGATCCAGTACCACCTTGTCCTAACCAGAATTCTTTCAGCTCATTTGGAAGCCTAAGATAACATCATCACTGCTCCCAAACACAGGCTCTTCTAAAGTTATTCTGCGATTTTTTACACTTTATGAAATGTGTTAACACTGAATAACCAAACAAGCTTTAACTTGGCCAACTGACCATAAATTTGACAAAACTTAGTTTCAAATACTATACCTTGGCCTTTTAATGGTTTCCAATGGTTTTGGTGCTTTAATTATGTGTTCTTGAAATCTGGGTTTCAATTCAGCAAGCTCCTTCCGTTCAGAGGTAGTTTTGACTTCTGGTTTGACAGGCTCAGGAGGTTTCTCACTGTTATGGAGACCCTTTGTACAGCCCTATTGTGGAAAGCATACGTTTATATATACATGCTGTGTAATTTGTATACACAATTAAAAAAATACAAAAAGCTGCAACATGTTTTCTCGATCTACTTCTTCAGCTCCATCTTCACCTTTAGCCCACTCTAAATATTGGCTGCAAAAGAAATCCTGCAACTAAAGTGGAAAATACCTTCATTTGGACATAGATTAAAGAAAAATGCATACTTTCAGTAATCAGAGTAACAAAAAATACTGACCTACCTTCCTTGCTAACAAGCATCTAAATAACTTTTGATAGAATTATAATCATTAAAGCTTCAAAATGAGACTCAACTTCAACATTTTAACAAGAGAAGTAGTGCAGGCAAGACTTAAGACAGTTTTAACCAAAGTACACAAATTTTAAACATGTAAGTACCTGTGTGAATTAATATTTATCATGTCCATTTGACAAATATAAAAACTGTAAATAATCATGAGTACATACCACAATGCTTAAGAAGTCAGAAAAGTCTGTTGTTCTTCTCTTACAACATGACCAACCCTATAAACATTTTGGAATAAAAACAAAACAAGCATGATGACCTTACTTGGCAACAGCTCATAAAAAGCACAGGCAAATTATATTCCTTTACAAGTTGCAGCACATCACGATTAGAGATTATTTTCTTCCCGTCTCTGGACAGCATCATCTCCATCTGCATTTTAAAAGCCAGAGGAATCTGTTACAGCTGCCAGATCTAGTTCACTCATGCTGCCTTAATCATCAAGTTCTGTGAACGTGAGGCAATATTTCCATGACAAGTCAGATGCCAACTCTGTCCAACAGAAATGTTATTTCATCTCATAAGGTAACACATAAACAAAACAAAAGAATACTGTACCTGAGACTGGGCTCACCTGTAGCAGGATGTACAGGCTCCCTTCCTAAAATGATGAGGACTTTTTCTTTGCTCAAGCACTAGTCAAGATTTTCAACTGCCCTTCCCACCACAAAGCTGGGTATCTGCACTGTATAGCCATCTACCCAATTACATCAACTAACAGCACTTTTTGTTATATGAACTAGAAATCTAGTTTTAGAGAAAACTATCTTGCTGCTGTGAATAAAGTATCTTAGAACTCAAAGAACCTTACTAGAGGCAGCAGTTTGAGCAACAAATGCGCAGCCGCTTTGAGAGCTTCAGCAGTGTGACAAGATAGGGTTTAGGTAGGTGTCTCTAAAATATCCTCAAAATATTAACTATTTCCACAGTTAAGGAGCCAAAAGTTTCACCCTGCCTACTTAGCTATCTAGAATTCATAGCAGGAAGAAATCTACTCCTACAAAATGATGAAAAATTTTCAATTAGGCTAAGGAGAGGGGGGGGAAGTAGTACTTTTTAAAAAATAGTGCATACCTAAGAGAAAGAGGAAGTTAACACAAGTTTTTGAAGTAACTGTTTAATTTCTGTCTTTAAAATTAGGTGCCCATGGCACATGATGGCCGATTCCAGAGTCAGATACCACAGTCTGAGCAACAGCTCACAGAAAACACCCAGCACATAGGCACAAGCTCCTGCGAACTCCAAGAACACCACATTATGGGACAGGGATGAGATGCACTGCCAATAGAAACAGTTCCTAAATACCAAGAAAAAATACTTGCCCCAAAGCTCAGTTAAAATAGCACTTTGGTGTCCTAAGAAAGGTCACTTAGGCTGCTGTATTAACACAGCAACCAGTGCGAGGCTCCATTTCAGGACACCAGATTTCTGACCATACAAAATTAAATTGTTAGAATGACTTCCAGGACTGTTTTGGCAGCTGTGTCTCAAACAATTCCAGTTTAATATAACAAATATGGCCTATGCAGTTGGCCTAATCACTGCAGACAGAAACAAACAGGTATATTTAATTCACTACTGAATATGCCGCCTAAGAAGCCTGGACAGCTGCATCAGAGGCACGGGTGACCAACCTAACCAACAGTCATTTGGCCTTCTCACAGAACACAATTATTTTTTACAGTAGGCAAATGTCACATACACATTAGTGCTCCAGCCACATAAAACCATAAGCAGCTGGTCAGAATTCCAAGCAAGTTAATTAACTGGAATTAACGAGTATGACAGTATGACACCTCTCAGTGCCTCCAAAGACCTATTCAGAGGACATAATTAAACTGTTAAAACACCTAAGGTCAATCAATGGGAAACCTGCATCACACAGACACGTGTGGCATTTGGACCATATGAGTAGAGTTTTAAAATTTCTTCTTCGGGTTTAAGTGCTTTCCTAGTTTCATGGGGTTGCTTTGACGTGATAGGCTGAACAATAGTTTCTACAACACTGCAAGATTTGGAATTAAACAGAAAATACAAGCATACTGTTTTACATATATGATCAATATGATAAGGCTTAAAAGGGTAGTTGCATACTTACTTTGAGAGCATCATGAAAGACTGGAACACCTGGATGATAAGTGCATGAATCTAAAAGAAAATTACTATTATTACTATTTGGGCATACCAAGAATCTTTATTCATCTCATCAGAAACAGAGCAAAAATTTCACGCTTGCAATTCATGTGTGCTGTGAGCTGTCTCACTTCCCTAAGTGCACGTAATTATGAAGGAAAATAGAGACTCCACAGAACAAGCTTTTCGAGTCCATATATTAAACCTAAATAATCAATGTTTTCTTCTGTATTATACAACACAAACCAGAAGGCATCCAACACAAACTTCTACTTTCATACAGGGCAAGTAAACTTTCTATGGACCATGCCCTCAACAATCATCAGTCCTTACTGGTAAGTCAGCATAAGTAAGACATAAAATACTTGCTTACATCACTAAATACATCTACTTGTACTGATCAAGGCTTGATAACTAGAAGCACTCTTAAAAATACGCTCTTAACACAAATCTTGAGTTCATGATTTTATCCATAATATTTAGCTTGTTCTTTTGTCACTGGTCACTGTCTGTAGCATCCTAGGTCACTTAAGGACTTGAACCCAAAGGCCTGTTTTCCATACACACAAATTAGACATGTCAATACTATCAATAAATAATAGATTCTGTATGAACACTGAAACAAAACTTCCATTAATAGAACTGTTTATATTAATAGATGCTTATGAACATTACAGTTTTTGATGTAGCAACTGTTCCTTTTTTACTGAATATAGTTTTTTTTCTTTCCAAGTGCAACATAATTGCTCTGATTATATAACTTCTCTTTGACAGATACCGCATGGGACCTGAGTTGAAAAGCAGTGGCAAACACTAGCTTTTAAATGACATTTTTGTTGTTGTTAGAAACAGCCAAAATTAAGAGTAACACAGCAGTAACAATTTTTATAATGTGTCTCTAGAACTGAAGAGTGAAAAATACCACAATGCACATAATAGGAAGCAAAAGAGAAAAGTGATACATAATTCTACTAGTAATATGCCTATAGATATATAGAAATCCCCTACAAACTTTGTTGTTTTCATTTTTCATAAATAGGTAGATTTTAAAGAAAACTTGCTTAGTATAATTTTTTCAATTTTATATTCAGTGCCTAAGTCTAAGGCATTAACACAGTCTGACAGTCACCACTTGCCACCTCAACTCAAAAGGCACCCATTTTGAGACCTCAGTCTTTCAGCA